GGGGCACCCCGGCCCCCGGCACGCCGCCGGTTCCCAGGTGGGCGCAGAAACGCCGGCGCTGCCCGGGCAGAGGGGCGCAAAAGGCTGCGAGCGTGTATCAGACCTGTCCGGCGAGACGTCGCGGCCGAGGGACGCAGCCGGCGCCAGGACCGCCGCGGTTAGGGCTTGGAAAGCGGAGCTGGACCCGACGTGTGCCGAGACCGGGGGCTGAGCTGTGGGTGTTTCGCAAAGATCCTTAAGGAGAAACTCAGTGCAAGTTTTAGGGAGAAAACATTGCATCCTGAAATCCCATTACCCTGGAAAACCCAGGCTCGCCTGTCGCGGCCGAGGGACGCAGCCGGCGCCAGGACCGCCGCGGTTAGGGCTTGGAAAGCGGAGCTGGACCCGACGTGTGCCGAGACCGGGGGCTGAGCTGTGGGTGTTTCGCAAAGATCCTTAAGGAGAAACTCAGTGCAAGTTTTAGGGAGAAAACATTGCATCCTGAAATCCCATTACCCTGGAAAACCCAGGCTCGCCTGGTGGCTTTTGCATGAGCATCGCTGGGCCCAAACCTGGGCACGGGTGGGAGACCTGCTGCTGCGGAGTCAGGATCTGCTCCTTGCTCTGGTCATCGAGCAGTCCCCAGGCAAAGGCTCTGTGGTTTTGTTCGCAGAGCTGAAGCGGCTACTCGAGTGGCTCAGGCCTCTCCGATCCCTTTTCCCTGTAGGGTGCAATGCCGGCACCTGCTCGGGGAGTCCCAGAGGGATGTGATCTCTGCTCGAGGCCGGCGCTACGTCGTGTCCTTTATCGCTGCTGCGCTCCAGGCTCCGTCCTGTGGGTTCATTCAGCGAGGCTTTGCGGGTGACTTTTTGCCCTTGCACGTCACTTCCTCTGGCTTTGTGTTCAGCGAGGCTTTGCGGGTGATTTCTGCGGATGATATTTTGTCCTTGCGTGTCATTTCCTCTGGCTTTGCGAGGACGTGAAAGGATTTGATTGCAAGGCTAGGCCGGCTGCTCCCGTCCCCTGGAAGGGTGCGCAGAGCCGGGGAGAGGCTGGGAGGAGGGCGGCGAAGCTGCGACGTTCGTCTGAAATAGAGCAGAAGAAAGGCCCTTCCGCTGTCACTGCCTCGACTGCTTTCGATCCCGGCTCCTTGCTGCTCCCTTTCCATCTCGGCACAAGGTTTAAATGCCTCCCGGGTTTCTCCTGGGCTTCGCACGTGTCGGCCCAGTCCGGGCACCCTCTGCATCCCCTTCTCCGCCTTTGCTGGCGGGCGCCAGGCTCGTGGCCTGCTCGTCTCTGCCCCACGCGGCACTCGCGGGATTTTCTCATATCAGCTGCATCCTTTCGTCTTGGGGGACGCAATTCTTGCCAAGACGCCTCAGGTCCCGGAAAATCCACCGCTCTTGCAACGCCCCTGTTTGCACCCTGTGCTGCAGCATCTCTTGTCCCTGGCGCCACTTTCTCCCCCCGCCCCAAAAGCCACGGTCAACAAGCTGCAAAATCGTGTTAGGGAGTTGCTGAGAGCGCCAGCACGTCTTTCGTGTCACGCTTGATTAGGGAAGCCACAGATGGCAGCAGCGCTGCTTCGTTCCAAGATGCAATTTCCTCGCGAGCGCTTTATCAAGTGGGTAAGTGGGCGCAGTCAGCGCCGGCTCCTGCCCCCCGGGAATGGCAACGCACGTCTCCTTGGCACCCAGGGC